GAAGGTCTTCAGTTTTCTGACTGAAGCTTGAAAGTCCATAATATGCCTTGAGGAATCCACCAGGGATTTAATGGAAACCAATTTAAACTCTGAGCCAGTCTCATATTTAAAAACTAATTGGGACAGGAGCAAGCTGCGATTTGTTTTTGAATGAGGACAGGAATTTGGCCCTTACGCTGAACACCTAAGGAGATCGAATACCTAGGGAAGATGAATAAAAATATCAATCCACTTAGGGCCAAATCCTGTTCACTGCAGGAGCTAGAAAAAAAAATAAGCTGCACAGGGCAATTCTGAGGAAAAAATGGAACATTTTGCCACCCCCGGCACCAGGGTAGAATCAGAATCACTTCAAATACTGTTGCAGCCTCAGGAATGCAGCAGCTGCTGTATTTCCTGCGAGTCCCCTAATTCCCATTGCAAGGAGGGGTGGCTGATAGATCTATGCAGTTGCAGAGCTGCCAGTCGGGCACCTTCCAGTCCTCATGTCTCCAAAACACAAGGCCAGCAATAGCATATAAAAGGATACAGACTCTCAACTTTCTGTCTATTGGGGAGCAGTACCTCCCTCTGTACACCACCAATTTTCTCAATTTTTATATATTGTTCTAAAAAAGGAGCTTTAATGCAGGTCTGACATTTTGGGACAAGAAGGTACCCTTTGATATCTGCAAGAAAATTCATTCACATTTGACTGTTACCAGCTGCTGAAAAAAAGTCAACGGTTATAATTAGTAGAAATGGCTAGAGCTTCTTTAACAAGACTAGCCAATATTCCATGCATACTAAGCGTGCTCCCCAGGATCTTGTTTTGACATGTCATAAAGAAATAAACCTTAGTGCATAGCATAGAGACAAGGAGAAGCATGCAGACAAGGAGAAGAACATTTATTCTAAATTACTTTATGTCCCTGCCCTCTGGTTTACTAGAGGGTGCAGTAGGTTGGAAACCACAAGAACATGAATCCTTAATTTACCTACCAAAAGGGATGGATCCAGAGGGGAACAGTGGTGTGGTTGGCTATGTGGCATGTGCATAGTAGGCCCTGTGAGCTCAATATAGTTCCCACCACAGCTTCTCACATTCTGTGAGCAATGAGCAGTTGATCAGCATGGGCTCTGGCCACAGCCCCTGCTTTGAGGAAGCTCTAAAGCCTAGGGGATGCGCGGCAGCGCCACTCATCCCCTCTCTTCCTCTGAACTCAGCTTGGGGGTGTGGGGGTGAAATGCAAGCGGCACTGAGCCCCAGGCTATGCAGCCATGCGAAAAACAGGGACTCCAGCCAGAGCTTGCATTCATCAGTTGGTGAACTCAGAGTGCTCACAGCAGGGCTGGATCCAGTCATACTGGACTTGGTTTGTGCTGCATATAAGCTCTTGAAGCGGGGTCTGGCTAGGTCTCCTGCTTTCATGCAGCTCCAGAGCCCAGGAGGTGAGCACTGCCTCCGCTATCTGTCCCCTCTTTTCTCCTGTTGCTGAATTCATCCAGAAGATGGGAGAGGAAAGGTGAGCAACAGCAGTGTTCACTCCCTGGGCTCCAGATGCACATAAAAGCAGAGACTCTGGCCAGACCTCACCCAGATCAGCTGATGAGCTCAGAGCTCATGGCTCACGTGCAGCTCCTGCAGCAGCCTGCGCTGACCAGGCAGTGAGCTCAGAACTCACGGCACGTGTGACACAGCCAAAGGTAGTGGGGGGGTGCACCCCCTTGTCCACTCCTGCTCTCACCACTGCTTGACAGCACGGGCAGAGCTCTGGCAAGAGCTGCACTAACGTGCCAAGGAGCTTGGAGAGTTCACTGTCCATGCACCACACAGCAAAAGGGACATGACCACACACCTCAGCCTCCACTGTCAATTCGCCCATGCCTACCAATCAGTTTCTTGAAGAAAATGGGCTGCCATTATGAAATTTAGGATTTTATAATCATGCACGTGAACAAGAAGGGCAGTTTTAAGATGGAAGGGCAATTCTATTTTGGACATTTCCTATCCTTTGAGCAGCTGACTTTCCAATTGTAACATCATTTTATCCCAGGTTTTTTATTATTGCAGCAGCACTCAAACGGTAGTAGGCATTTTCCCGAGCAATCTTGTACTTCTCTCACCAACCACCTAAGAGCCACACTAAATTCAGGTGTGCAGTGCCACCCCCAGCCTTTACTTTGGAGGATATTGGCTTTAAGGCTGTGCAAAATTCTAACCTTACAACTGCAAGGCAGGTATTTAAGTATGTTTGCAATATCTAGATGGTGAAATCTGAACCCAGCAGGGTTCAGCGCTTACCACTTACTGATGCTTCACAGACTGGTACAAAGATAATCTCCACACAGCTGGGAGCAAAGGACAAGCTCCTATTCTGATGCTATAACATCTTTTGGAGACCTTCGAAAGAGCCAGTATTAGATTTCTACTGGCCACTAAACTAGAAGGGCTCATTCCTACTAGATAGATTCTTGAATGGTTATGAAAGGCAAACATTAGTCTTCCCCAAATATTCTCACCTGCCAAATCACGTACAAGCTAAAATGTAAATTATTCTATGTCCCAGGGCTAGAGCTTTAAAAGGGTGTTACCTGGGGACTGATAAGACAGAGAAACTCCGTTTCTCATTCCTTTGTGCATTATAAGAATTCCCAGTAATCACTGTAGTATTCCCTTAGGAGGTGTGGGAAGGTCACCTTAGTCCAAAGAGCCAGTTACAGAATTCATTTATACTCTTTTTAAAAACTATTCTCTACCCAGTATCTGCTTTCTTAATGATTCTCCCCAGAGAAAGACTTACAGAATTTTAGACCCTATAGGGAAAAAAAAAATCTAAGAAAACTATATTGAAAATCTGTTCCCTGCAGGTATTAATTTTGCTCAGACCTATACAAAATCTCACAGAATACATATAGACTATATCAGTAACCACAACTGTTCACTCTTATTTTGTTACTGTTCAAGTAACTTTTGTTTTTAACTCCTCCTTGCTTCATGCCATAATGTGTAACTGGATCCAGTTTTCTTGTCATTCAAATACTCCCAATTCAGCTGTGTCAGAAAATCCACATATATTTGTAAATATCTTCTTTTTTTTTTTTTTTAAACCACACACACCAGACCAGATGAGGGTTTTTTCCTCTCCAATCAGCCTGAGCAGGGAAGCCCCCCACCCCATCTTGCATTTGCCTACAAGGAAGTCTCATTTAATATACTGTTTATTGTTAAAAATGTGCACAGTAATAGAAACCAACTATGAAGGTGATTTAATACAACCAGTACTGAGCAGGACTATAACATATGGCCCATATTGGGCAGACATTTTATTTTCATTTTCTCGAATTGACCAAATCCCTTCCAAATCTTATGGACTAAGCAGAACTCAAATCATTCAAGTCCATGTGGTGCTACCACCAGCAAGTATCCTCCATCCCAGACACTTTGGCTTGGGGATTCAGATTCTCCCAAACACAGGGCAGGCATCCTACATGCAGGCCCCAGCCCAGAGGTCTTGGGGTTCAGGTACCACCCCGCCCCCCCCACCCCCCCCAAGTCTCACTTGCCCTCAGCCAAGAGGCGAAAGGAGCAAGTTAGGGAGAGAGCCCTCATTTCTACAAAGTAGGCATATAGCTGAGATCCTTCCATTGGGAGGCTACAGTAAACTCTTGTAAAGTGCCCTGTCCACAGTGCATTGGACAAGTCCACACGCTCTATTATACAATGTCATTCAAAGTGATCTCAGCCCAGGGGACAGACCAGCGCAACAAACTACACTTGATCTTAGCCCACGAACATACTGATGGAATCCTACAAGGACAGGTTAGTTCAAACCATCTGAATAAGACAGACAGTCCTGTCCACTACACTCAGTCTACATCAGTGCCAACTTTTTTTCAAGTCACAGTAAAGTCATTACACTATATACATTTTGACTTCCTCTTCACTCCCACAGCTGAGCTGTGCCTTTCTTTTCCATTTCCAATGATTCCTGTTTTTTCCACTAGCCTTAAATGCCTGGCAAACATCACCAAACAGGGCCCCAAGCTATTCACCCAGAACCCCTCTGTTGGCCCCTGTCTCAGCCTAGAGCATATGACTACTGTGGCCCCATGCTCCCTGAGGTGGAGCCAGACCAGGTTGCCCTGCACCTCATCCACGTATGCATTTTTTAAGGTTTCCAAGACTCGTGACAAGAACACCCGGTTCCATTCAGAAGCAAGGGGCTAATTAGCACAGGGATTCTTTGGGGATGGGGTAAGTATCTGGAGCGCGCGCGCGCGCACACACACACACACACACACACACACACACACACACACACACACACACACACACACACACACACACCAGTGCTGATCTATAGGGTCACCATGGCTTGAAACACTGTCGACACTGCTGGGGCCCCGCCCAATGAACTATATGATAAATCATGAGCCTTTTGGCTTTGGATTAATAGATACCTAGAATACAAAGTATGCCTGATGTTAACCCAAAGCCAAAAGGCTTATGATTATATATACATACATCCATCGTCTGGTCTGTCAGGGTACAAAAAGTGCTGCTTAATGGTGTGTTTATGGAGTACCTGTGCTAAAACTTGCAGCTGTTTCAAAAAAATTTTAAATGGATCAATTCTGCATAAATTAAGTCTATGGGTGTCTATAGTAATTTGACTATATATACATATTCCTACATGTATGCTTATTTCTAGGTTAGTGTTTTCAAATTTGCCCCTCACTTTCATGTTCCCAGATTTATTTTTCCCTGCTGTAACAGTGGGAAGGGGACATATTCAAAGCAAACCTCCAATAATTAGATTAAATTACTGGAAAATCATAACAAATTTATAATTTTCTCCCTATATAGAATGCAACTATTGGGGGGTTGTCTTATATTTGAGTAAATATAGCATGGGTGTATATTATATATGAATTTTTAAAATAACTGACAAAAACTGTCTGTGCGTCTCTACATGCTTTTACAACAGTGACACGCATTATAGAATAGTAATTCTTACCAAGATAGGCAGTCCTTGAGAGCATTAAAGTATGGATATCTGGAGATGACACACACAGCAAACGGCACAAAGCAGGCAAACGTTTTACCAGTCTGCACGGATTCCCAGTGGGCCTGCCCATTTGCTGGAATGCATCCATCCTACAAGAAAACTGCAGATTAATGTGATGATGTTAATCATGAAGTTAGGGCTGGTATTTTCAATGGAACCAAGGGAAATAGCCAAACCCCCCACTAAATTTTGGTGAGATTTGGACATTTAAATTCCCTTGGTCCTTTAAAAATCTCAGCCTATAAAATTACATCCATCTATTAAAAGCATGTTTTTGAGCTAGGAATCTCTGTCAAGAGCACTGTATATTTCTCAAACTCATGCACCTAAAAATATGCCTAAGGAATAAATTCTGCTCTTGGATATTCAAACACAACTCCCAGTTAAAATCTACAGTGTTCAATGAGGGCACCACATTACATTAAATTAGGAATCACAAGTCAAAAACCAGTAGGTCCACTGAAGCCTAACAGCTCAGACAAGCATAAGAAGCACATTTCTATAACCCACAACACAAGAAACTGAGGTAGCTAGTATCATATACAGCCACCTTTAGATAAACGAAGATCTATACCATATTGCTATTAAAGCATATAAGTAATTTCAGAAATCCAGTGAATTGGTATTGTTCTCAACATTTTCTGCATAAAAAGTTTTATTAAAAATGTTTATTACACAACATACTTGAATAGGTTGATAATACTGTGCAACAACACCATATGTTCGGTTACCACAGACATCTGTGAAAACCAGGAAGTGGATGTGGTCCTCTTTTGATTCAGAACTTATATACAGTCCTCCTGCAAATAAGACGAGTACTTGTTATAACCACATGCATAGTGAAACCTGTTTGTACAACTCAAACCGCATCAACTGCTTTTAGATGCTACTCTTCCACTGCAACACTTCACTCTTAATTAAAATATGCCAAACTAACTGATTTGATTGGAAGCTTGTTATACAAGTCTAAAACCATTTACAAAAGTTCACTGAAGTTAAAACATCATACAGCTCATTTTATATTTGTGATATGGCAAAAAACAGTCAAGGTCCTCTATTCATTTTCTGGGTTGTATTTGTACAATTTTTTTTTATTTATTTTTTTTTTTAGTAGTTGTGTGTTCTAGTTACTCAAACAAAGTTACTATAAGGTTTTGGAGAAATGGCTGCTACTCTAGCAGAAACTAGTGGGGAAAAGTATGCGTTCACGTTTTGAAGGAAAGTCTTCTAAAAACGTAAAGGCAGAGAGAAAGTGGGGAAGGAAGAGCCTTTTTAAAATGCTATGATATATACTAAGAGAAATTCACTTTACAGCACACAAAGGCAGCATGGATGCAGCAATAGAGCTATAGGTGTGGCCACCAAACAGATAGTAGAAGGTTTATAAGCAGTTCTCAATAACAAATTATTAAAAGAAAGCCACATAATACCTGGGAAGCATAGCTCCGGCAAGCCAACGAGGTCAATATCTTTGGGAACACTAATATCTTCAGTATCTGGCACTCTGTGGTCCGCATTCAGACCCTTCACGTTCTCAGCCTTAGGCCTATCTTTCTTTTTCCGGAAAGAACGTCGTTTACTTTTATTGAAGTTATTACAATTTGTGGTAGTTGCTTGACTCTCATCTTTGCTGGTAAAAGGAGGCACAAAAACTGACAGAACTTCTGGCTCAAGGGGAGGTAGGCTTCTTACTTTTTTCTGAAAACCCTAAGAAAAAGAAAAATCAAAAATTCAAGTAGGCATTTTTACTATTTTTAATTGCATTTAACCACCTTCTTCCTTCTTTCCTAGAGACTGGCCATGTCCAGATGAGCGCAGTCGTGCAGTGTGCACACACAGCTGTTCTCAGTGAAAAGCTGTTCTCAGAGAACAGCACACACAGCTGTTCTCTGTGCTGCAAGGTAGCAGTGCAGGGGGCATTTTTGGACCCCGGGATATATGTAAAAAAACCCCAAAAAAACAAAAAAAAAACCCAGAGCAGCATACATGGGGGCAAAGCATGCCACTCAAAATGAGCGTGACTGGCCAGAGCCACGCTCGAGCAGCCAGCCAGGCTCCCAAGTGGCAGGATCCAGCAGAACGCAGCCCCAGGAGACCCCCCCCGAACCCAAGGTAAGACTGCTGGGGCCAGCCCAGTGCCGGCCCCAGCCTCCCCTATCTGACCCAGGGTAACCTGCCATGCACCAGAGGACACATGGCACAGGCATTCCCAGGGGACAACCAGCAGCAGCACAAGGTGTCCAACTGCTAGATGTCCCCAGGGAACCAAACGGTCACGCTCATGTGGATATGGCCTGTGGATTTAACTAAGCTGAATGGGTCTTCATTTCTCCCCTTCCCTTGCCCTCTTTCTACGGCCTTTTTCCAAACTAAGTGAAGTCAATGAAATATTCTGCAGTTGTCTTCAGGATACATTCGGATATGGTGCCCGATTCAAATCTATTCTTCATCATTTGAGTTTTATTGTAGCAATGTGGTTCCCCCCCATGGCAAGCAACACTTTAGAATTAGCACCAATAGATGCCCAAAAAGATAGTCCCCTTAAAAAAAAAAATAAAAAAATCAGGATTAGAGTCAAGATATTTCCATTTTTCTACCTTAAAAAATAGCTTGGAAATACACAAATGAGAAAAAAAAGGAAAAGGTGTCTTAGAAGCAGGCTTGGTTGTAAAAGAAGCTACATCTTATCTTATTACTGCATTTACTCCATTAGAAGAGGTTCTTTTCCCCATTTTAACATGGGAAAAAAAATCCAAACCAGCTTACAATCAAGCACACAGCAGTGGGCGAGGGAAAGGGGGGGCGTGGAGGGGGGAGGAGGGGGTAATTGCTGTGGCTCTGGCTCCAAGCTGAGGTTGGGGCTGGGGCTGGGGCTGGAGCTGGAGCCTCAGCTACCACCTGCCCTCCCTCTGCAGACCCACTACACCTCCCTTGTAGTCCCCACCCCACGCCGTTTCTCCCTCTCCTACCACCCCTCTGCCGCACTCCTCCTTACCTTTGCTCTGCAGCCTGGTGCACAGAGCCTGGCCCCAGCCCGACCCCGACCCCGACCCCGCAGCAGCAACAGCGGCAGGCAACTGCTACAGGGCCAGGCTGGAAGAGCAATTCTGGCTCCACACCGCTGCTGCTACCGGGCCAGACTGGAGCCAGGCTCTGTGCCCCAGGCTGCAGCAGGGATGGCTGGTGCAGAGAAAAAGGTAGAGGGGACAGGAGGAAGTGGAGTGGGGACCTGAGGTTGCCGGTGGCAGAAGTGGTGTGGAGGAGAGAGGGGGGCCTGGCACAATGTGAGGGGTAAGTGGAGGAGGAAAAACAGGCAGCAGGAGGCAAGCTACCTGCCTCTCTCACCTGCTCCACCACCTCCACACTGCCTGCCCCTACTACCTGCCCCGCCACTGCCTGCACCATTACTGCCCCCACACCTGCCCTACCCCATTCCCCCACTACACTGTCTGTCCCTACTGCCTGCCCCCCTCATCACCTCTCCCCCTACCACCTGCAGTAGTGGAGGGGAATATAAGATGATCCTCCAATAATCAGATTTCATACATGGAAAATTATACATTCATAAATTTATAATTAAATTAAAATTTTATAAGTTGTCTACATGTATAACCTAATTATTGGGGGGGTTGTTGTCTTACATTCATGATCACCTTATATTCACATAAATACAGTATTTTTATACTGATCTTGAAAGAAATGCCATCCTTCTACAGTGAAAAAAAAATTAAAATCACAGTCCCAAATAAAGCAATGAGAGGTATTTTAAAACATTAACAATTGGATTCCCTCTCCACTGAAGTTAAAGGAAGTTTTTTTTTCCCATTTATATATGGGGTGGGCAATAGCAGAATCTATTAAATTATGCATCAATTACAGTGCTTTCCAATAAGCAACTCTGGATAATAAGGTAGGACAGTGCTATAGCTTGACAGGTTCTTACTTTCTCGTTTTGTAAAACCATCCGAGTAAAGACTTGGAAGAGGAAACTCCCCCATTGGTCCCACCCTGACAGGTACAATCCAAGTAGCTTCATCTTTACTTAGCTGCAGATTCTAATTTATTCTGCAAGGCCAAGCCTGTAAAAGAAAGTTTTGTGCAGCCTGGGTGTGCTTGGAAATAGGAAAGCTGGGCCTCAGGGTAGCTAAAAATATGTTTTTCCATGTTCAAATCTTGTGTGAGATGACTAACAGCAGATGAATCAGAGGTAGTAGGGCTATTTACTTTCACCTTCAGACACAACGCCTAGCAAGAACCACTGATTGCTACACGTATTAAACGCATTCCCTGAGGTACGATGTTGCCCTTCCCCCCCCCCCCCCCCCCCCCTCTTTTTTTCATTTTTTTTAAATAGCTTCAACACAAACCAATGATGCAGCGCTTCATCTAAAACAAGCCACTTTATAATCAAAGGTTTTGGAAGCATAAGAAAAATCTTAACTAATTTGCTTCAATGTTAGCAGGTGGGTCTGATCAGTACTTTCCTCTAGTCTGGAACATGATAGGAAAACTCAGAAGGAATACTTAATATCTTAGAAGTTAACCGCTATGTATTTTTATTCCAGTACAGGATATCTTTCAAAGATATTAAGGTCAAATAGTACTCTTCTACAAAACACAATTAAAGAGTCTTACCCAAAGGAGTCTAGGAAATGAAGTTTAGGTAAGTATCCATTGCAAAACCCAGAGGATAGCAATGACTTTAAAAAAAATAAAAACTTAGTTATAAAGGGGGGGAAGTAATTGCCACACACTCCTACAGTACAAGGCTGAAGTTCCATCCTCTTTCC